CCGTCCCGGGAAAAGGGGCAGGGAGGCGATTCCCAGCCCAGCCCGAGCCCTCCAGCCGCTCCAGCCTGGGCAGAGCATGACCCAAGGCAAGGTAGGGAGGAGGAGGATGAGTCCAGCCCCGTTGCATAATCCGGCTTGGCAGGAGGAATGTGGGATGGAGGGGAAGGATTTCGGGGATTTCAGGAATGTGCGCGGAGGAGGGAGCGGAGCTCAGGGCATGGACCCCTGGGGTGGGGTGGGAAGGGACGGGGAGCTGTTTTGGGGGTCGGGGATGTGTTTTTGGCGCTGCATTCCCAGCTCAGGCCCGAGCCATCCTGGATTTTGGGGGCTCGGGGTGATGGCTGTGCCTTCCCACCCTTGTGTCCTGAGCATCTCCTTCCTGACCCAGAGGTTGTGGATTTGGGGAGCTCGGGACAGGGAGGGGGAGGGACCCACGGGCTCTGCCAGCCCCGAGTGCCATCGCCATGGCAACAGAGCTGGATGCAGAACAGCTCCGTCAGCCCCGGCGGCTCCTGGGGATCCTGCGGGTCTGGAATGACATTGGGATCAGGGACAGGGATGGGACAGTCCCTGGGAAAGGGCACAGGTGGCTCTGGGACACATCCTGACCCGTTAATTAGGCTGTGCCTCATTTGGGGCTCCCTGTGCTTCCAGCCCTGACATCCTTCCATCCCCCGGTCCCTAACCAATCCCTCAAATCGTCTCCATCCCTAACCTCCTCCATCCCTAACCTCCCTCCATCCTCTCCATCCTCCCCATCCCTCACCTCCCCCCATCCCCCTGGATGGGTTAATTCCCCTTTCCCCTTCACCTGGGGCTGTTTGTGGCTCCATCCCCTGATCCCTGCTCTCCAATGCTGAGCTGGCACCTCCTTTGGCCATGAGGAGAGGACACTGGGAGTTCACCCTGGGATGAACCAGTAGGTTGAAGGGATCAGATTCCCAAGGAGGAGCAAGTTCTCAGGTGGCCCCAGGACGACTCCTTCCTGGGATTTCATCCTCTTGGGATCTCAAGTGGCTCCGGATTATGGGCTGGATCCCTCTCTCCCCTCCATCCCATCAGAGGCTGTTCTGGGGCTACAGGGATGGATCCGTTGGGAGTCCACAGGGATTTCTGGGTATCCTTCCCATTCCTGACCCTTCCCCCTTTGGAGTCATGCCCAGCTTTAGTCCAGGTCAAGTTCTCCCTCTCTGTGCTGGTTTTCCCAATCTTTCCCCTCTCTGTGCAGCTCTCTGTGACCTCCAAACCCCCCGAGGGGCAGGCAGAGAAGAAGGACAATGCGTCGGCTCCACCAGCTCCTCCATCCTATGAGGAGGCAACAGCAGGAGAAGGGTTGAAGGCTGGAGCTTATCGTCCTCCCCCGACGGCTCCACTCCATCCCAGCTGGGCCTACGTCGACCCCAGTAAGGCTGAACCGGGGGGAAAACTGGGACGGGAGAAGGAATTCCCCAAGGGGGTGGGGGGGTTGGAGGGAAAGGGGAAACAGGGATAAGGAGGGAGCCAGGAATAAGGGGAACTAGGAATAAGAGGAGAACCAGGGACAGGGGGATCCTGGGATAAGAGGGAAGAAACCAGGGATAAGGAGAACCAGGGATAGGAGAGGAACTAGGGATAAGGGGGAACCAACCTGATTTGGTGGTGGTGGGACCTGATGTGGTGGTGCTGGGGAGGGAGGAGTTGGGTGGTGGGACCTGATCTAGTGGTGGGACCTGATGCCTGAGCTGTCCCTCAGGCAGCAGCCCAAGCTATGGCAGCAGTGGGTACCCAGGGGACACGGAGATGCTCACCACCTTCAGCTGGGACGACAGGAGCGTGCGCAGGGTCTTCATCAGGAAGGTAAGGACCACGTTCCTCCAGGCTGGAGGGGCAAGAGGTCACCCCAAGACCTTGGAGAGGACCTGGCTGGGAGGGCTGGGCTGGTGTCCCCACCTGGGTGGGAAGAAGAACCTGCAGGTGCTCATGGGTCACTTCTCCTCACAGGTTTATGCCATTCTGATGGTCCAACTCTTGGTCACGGTGGTTATTGTGGCTTTCTTCACCTTCTGGTAGGTGACCTTGCTGTGTCCCCTGGGTAATCTGGGCCTGGGGTGGGGTTGGATCTTGTGTGGACACCTGGAAGTTGAGTGGCCACCTGGATGTGGTGTGACCTCCTGGATGTGGTGTGGCCACCTGCAGGTGGTGTGGCCACTTGAATGCTCTATGGACACCTGGAGGTTGAGTGACCACCGAGATGTGGTGTGGCCACCTGAATGTTGTATGAACACTACATGTACTGTAGACACCTGGAGATCATCCCCATGAGCTCCAACAGACAACCCAAGCTGAGAGAACCCTCTGAGATCCCTCTACCACCCCATGGGGCTCATGCCCCACCACCCCTGGCCGTCCCACCACCAGGTCCTGCTGCTGTGGCCCATGAGCTGCTGCATTTCTCCATGGGAGCTATCGAGGCCATCAGATCTCCCTGCAGGGACCACGTTACCTCCTGGAGCAGCAGCTCAGGTGTCTGAGCTCACAGGGCTCACATTGCCTCGGGGATGAATAATGCACCAGGGTCAAGTTGAGCCTTTGGTCACCTCAGAGCAACCAGAACTTCTTCCAGCTCACGGTGGAGCTGATCTTGGCCATGCCACATTGGGTTCTGCTCCAGCTGCTGGAAGAGGCTTCAGACAAGTGTGTGAGATGTTCTCCACACGCCTCATCACCCTGAGCCTGTGCTGAGGTTGATGGAGCAGCAGCGTTGGGTGGGATTGGCTTTTGGTTGCTTCCTGCTCAGTGTCTTCTCTCTCCTCCTCACAGTGAACCCGTCAAAGGTTATGTCCAGACGCACTCGGCCTTGTACTGGGCTTCCTAGTGAGTATCTCCTGCTTCTCCTAGAGGTCCAAACAGAGGTGGGACAGGCTGTGCTGAGGGTGGGAAGGGTCTCCACCACCTTCCAAACCCTTCTGTGTCCTCCACGTCAAGACTCATCCACTGTGTGTGGGTGGGGAATGCAAAGGATCGTGGGTGGGTTGGGTTGGAGGGACCTGAAAGATCATCTTGTGCATCTCCTGCCATGGGCAGGGACATTGCCACCAGCCCTGGTGGCTCCAAACGCTGTCCAACCTGGCCTGGAACACTGTGGGTGCCCCAAGGAGGTTGTGGTTACCCTAAGGAGGTTGTGGCTGCCCCAAGGAGGTTGTGGTTGGAGGTTGTGGTTGGAGGTTGTGGTTGTCCCAAGGAGGTTCTGGACACTCCAACCCCATCACTGTCCATTCCAAGTTGTCCCAAGCCTTGTCCAACCTGCCCTGGCGGGAGTTGTCCCTGCCCATTGGCACTGGATGATCTCCAAGCTCCATCCCAACCCTTCCCACCCCATGGACCCCTGAGCTCCTGTGTCCAGACTGTCCCCAGAGGTGACCCAGAGCTGCACTGGGTTCCATCCAGCTCTGCTGGTTTCTTGGATGCCTCTGGCGTTAGTTGCTGCTCGTTAGGTGTGAGATGTAATTAGCTGTGCACGAAGCTCCGTGAACTTGGCTTTGATGAGCTCCCACCCAACTCCTGCGACATGTCCAGGCCCTGGAGATGAGCCACAAGGTTATGTAAGCCCTGGAGGTGACACCTCCCAGCAGCAGAAGGAGCTGGCAGAGACAGGTCTGACCCTGAAGGAGAATTCCAAGCTCCTCTGGGATCAGGTGGGAGCTTGGAGAAGGAACATTGGCTTAGATCTTCTCAGGAGTTCACCACCTCCAGGTCTGGGATCTTCTCCCTGCCCAGTTAGGCTTGATCTCCTCCTGGTTTTCAGGAGGAACAAACATCTCTTGGGCTTCTTGGGGTGTTGGTTGTCCCACTGTGTCCTGCTCTGGTGGAGCTGGAGAGGGATTTGGGATTAGGCCTGGAGGGACCTGGAGATGAAGGAGCTCTCCTGGAGCTCCTTTAGACACTGGGAAAGGCTCTGAGGTCTCCCTGGAGATTCTCTTTTCCAGGCTGGACACACACTCATCCCATCCCATGAGCAGGGACAGATGTTCCAAGGTTTGATCACCTTTTCCATGCAGGAACATTCCCTAATATTCACTCTCAATCCAATCCATGCTCTGTTGGTCATTCACAAACCCACCTGGGTCTTCTCTTGCTCCTCAACCCAACCCTAGAGCCAACCTCTAGGTTCTCCAGGGAGGTTTTAGTCCCACCTTGAGGATTGGACCATGCAGAGTAGACACCTGTGGGCAGAAAGCAGCTGTAGTAGGAGATCCTACAGGGAGTGACCACCTTGAGCTTCCTCACCCTCCACCTGTGTCCATCACAGAGTGCAGCCAAGCTCTGGATCGTGGTGGGACATCAGGTGGAGATTTCTCAGCTTCACCGAGACTTAGGGTTGGGTTTCCTTGTCCAAACTCTTCTCTCTCCCTTCCAGTGCTGTTTTCTTTGTCACCTACTTGATCCTGGCCTGCTGCTCCGGCCCCAGGTGAGATTCCTTCTGGGCTTTTCCACAGCCCCACGAGGTGCAGGAGGAATGGGATCCTCTTCTGGATGAGATGGGATGGG